GAAAATAACATACAACCAGAACTTGTATTCTGGCAAAGAAACATGATTGTGCAGTAGAAATCTACTGTTGAAGTAAATATTTTATCAGTCACTGATGAGTATGAGTTACTAAAATTCCAATTCTTTCTTGAAACATTTGTTTTGTAACTACACCTATTTACCTAAGATTGGTGTCAATTACATTGAAAAAATTAGAGCATGAAGTTAAAACTTTTAATAGTATGTCTTAAAGATAATGTTGGAAATACTAATTTTTATGTTACATTATATCACTTAATATCTATTAAAATATATGATGCATTGAGGACTTAACAACAACAAAAAAAAACTAAGAAGGAAAATAGTCCGGATTGGTTCACTATATATTTTCCTCCAATTTGGATTTCATCAAACCTTGCCGTTTTAAGAGTTATGTGATTTAAATGATCGAGTCTAGAATGTCTTAAGTAGTATAGAAAAAAGAAGCGAAAGACAAGCAAATTACAAAGGTTTAAGTGAAAAACTTTACTGAGGGAAATCAGGAAGTACAATGCACGAAAATTTAATTCAGGGTTTAACGACCTGAAGTGTGGCAGCTTCTCATCAGCCCTGCAAACCTAAATCTCAGGCTCAGAGCCAGAATACCAAAAACTGAGTGAACGCTCCAGCGTTGATAGCCAGAATATTAAATGTTGAGTAAAATTAATTTCAGCCTTGGAAAAGGAACAATTTTGTATGAAAGGATATTCAAATAGCCCTTTATTGCACGACCACAATAAGCCTTGAAGATTTACATGATTGAGCTGGAATTCAAATCCAAAGACAAGAGGGAAGCATTTTTCTTCCTGGGATGCACAAAGAGATATCCATAATTAACCATCACACTTCCCCGGGCAGTGTGTTTTCTTAAGTTGACAAGCAAAATGAAGCATTTTGAGCCAGCACTGCTGGCTTTACAGTCATCTTTTGCATAGCTATTGTCTTAATGTATTTCTGGCTATTAGGCATTTGTCTATTTTTGGTCAGTGAGGCATGCATTTTATTTAAAGAATTCTAGTTTTGCATAACAGGCTGTAGTTATGTTAGTGGAATTACATTGCTACAACAGTATCTTAAGAATAACTACCACTTATCTTGGCTGGTCATATACATATTTCATATTCAGAGAGGAGTGGATATAAGTTTAATGAAACTAATACAAGTAAAATTAACACCAAGTAGAAAAATCTTTCAGAAGTATCTACTTAGATTCAACTATAAGTTTTCCTTTGCCTTATTGGTCCCACACTAATTCCATGATGTGTTGGGAAAATGCCAAGCAAACCCTGTTGCTTAACATTCCATCAAAACAGTCAGAGACTAACGATAGATCATGTATTCAATAACGCCTTTGTTCTATACCAATGCACAGCACACACTTCAGCTTGATGCAACTGTAACCACTAACATACCAAAGAGCAGATTCTCTTCAATTTTATCTTCAGAAAGTTTCCTTTATTTTTCTACCTGCATTCTAACCAAATGAAATGTTTTCATGTTGCCCTCAAATTGTAAACAATATGGTAAATCCCAGATATCTCAAAATTGTGAGTTTTTCCTTTCCCTAAAAGTGACCCTTTTCTCTAAAAGGAAAGCATGTCTCCTACTTTACATTCAAAACATTGAAAGCTAGGTGTGATGGTGCACACCTGCAATCCTGGCACTTGGGAGGCTGAGGTAGGAGGATTGCTGCAAGGCCAGCCTGGGCTACAAAGTGAATTCAAGCCCAGCCTGAACTGTGTAGCGAGACTGGCTAAAAAAATAAAATTAAATTAAAAAGAAAAAGAACATTATTTATGGTGACTGTAGTAGTTCACACCTAACATCTTGACTACCTGAGAGCCTGAGGCAGGAGGATCATGCACTTCAGGATATTCTGGGCTACCCTATCTCAAAAAAATAAAAGGGTTCAGTAGTGAAGCACTCAGATTGAGACGTTGGGTTCAATCCCCAGTATTAGAAAAATAAGTTTAACTGTTAAAAATAATTCAGCACAGTATTAATTTTATTTTAAAGTTATATACTACTATCACATAAATATACAAAAAATATTTGGATATTACTAGAACTTATAAGAGATCAAATCAATCTACCATACATTACGCCCCATAAAAATGCCAAGGGTCTGAGTATTTAGTTATATATAACCCAAACTACCACCCACGGGTTCTACTTGTGTTCAGAAACCTCTGAGCCATGAAACTGGTGGTACTGGGTTCATAGTGATGGGAAGGTTAAATATGATTTTGAGCTAGCTAATCAAAATGCATTCTAATTCAAATAAAAAGAACCTCTTAATAGCTTTCAAAGTTATAGCAGAAAATATTTTAACGCCTGGCTTTCTCTCAAACAACTTCTGAAAATTTCATTCTTAACTTTTTGTTTGTCTTGTTGGCTAAAGTTGGAGGTAACACAGTATGTACATCTTATATATTTTTTCAAAATATGTTTACAGTGCACTTATGAATGATCTTTATGAGTTTCCTTACTAGTGCCCTCAAACTGACAATTAACAGTTATTTAATTCAGTCAAGTTCTCTCCAATCACGAACCAAATTAACTGCAGCATGGTTTATTTTACATCCCCAAGGAGATGTGCACACGTCCTGGACTAAGGAAGTTGCCTGTTTCGGTTACCAAGATGTAAATGCTAGCTTTTTTTTTCCTGTTTTCTGTGTGCTTCAGGCTTCATATAAATCACCTCCTTTAATTCTCAGAACGCCCCGAACTTCTCTTGAAGCCAGTTGCACTCTCACGGCCACCAGACAGAGGAGGAAACTATGCGGGATGTTGGGCTGCACAGCCGAGGCAGACCAGTGGCTGGGGGAGGCCGACTCTCCAGGCCCGGGCCCTCGACTCCACAGCCTCAGCTCATCCCCTTTACATCCTGCTCCTCCGCATTGCTCATGCCAGCCAGTGCCCGCCTGTTTCCGTGCCCTGCTGCATCAGAGTCTGTAACTCCAGGACTGTTGCCCTGCACTCACTTCTCTGCCCTACCGTTGGTTCTCCACACCCAACACTCCAGAGTGATCTCTTTAAAATGAAAAGCTGGTCAAGTGGCTCCCTTGACCTTCAACGTCTAAAACCTTCAACGTCTTCCTTTCCCTTAGGATACAGCTAAGATTTTATAATCTTGATCTTGAATGATCTGGTCCGGTCTCCTACCCACCCTTATCACCCTTCCTCTGGATTCCAGGCCCAGCCTTTCTGAAGTTTTCATTCATTTCCTGGAACACAGCCAGCCTCTTCCTACCCAGAGGCCTCTGCACCTGCTGCTCCTGTTTGGATATGTCATGTCCCACCGTCCACAAACCTTTAGCTGCATATTGCTCCTTTTCAGAAGCAATCTCAAAATCTACCTTCTCTGCCATGCCCTTCCCCAGCTCTCAGAGTGCTTCTTGGCCAGTCCCAAACAAAGTTTGCTAATATAAATTTGAACGGTCATTTTTAACCACCCTCTGCCTTTCCTCTAGTCCTGTGATCCTCAAGTCAAGCAGGCACCCAAATCACCTGGAGTGTTTATTGAAAAGTGATCACTGGATTCTATCCCCAGAGTCTGTAACTCTGTCTGGAATGATCCTGCAACTGTGCAGTTACAAGGTCCCACCTGAGGCTGCCACTCACACACTGGATCCAGCGCAGGGACTCTCAGCCCTGTTTAAACATAAGAATCACCCGGGAAGCTTGCAAAAAGAGCCATGTCCAAGCTCTATCCAAGGGTTTTGATGTAATCGGGCAAGGGCAGAGCTCAGAAGTGTAAATACCACTTGTTAAATCTAAAGAAAAACTTACCTAAAATCCACATTTAACTGGGCATTTCATTTTTATTAGCTAAATTTGGCAGTCCTACCTACAGGACCTACTCTACAAAATAGGTAGTTTGTAATACAATCACATGCATACATTGAAGACAGATTACAACCTGACCCTGCATCTTCACAGAGCATAAAAAAATGGGCTAAGTAAGTAGGATTTTTACATCTAAGGGGACTCCCCCGCTTTGGGGTTTAGAATTTAACAACAGATTACAAAATCTTAGCTGTATCTTTAAAAAACAGAGCAAATTCTCAAAGTCAAATAACTGAACACGATGATTAAATGACTTCCAGCTTCCTTTAAACTCCGAGGCTGTGGCCTCGCCTTGGGCCAGCAGGGTGATGATACATGGACATTTGATAATGTGACATCTCCTCAGGAGGCACCAGAGTAGACCCATGGCTGGGACCTGACACACAGCAGGTGCCCTTCAAGGTACTAGAAGTACATGGAAACTATCCATTTGATAAATGCCACAAAAAAGTTAAACATGGAACACACAGCCTCTTCTGATGATGCCTCAGTGCAGGAAGTCCTGTGTAATTTTTCAATTTTAGAGTAAGCTCAGTGGTTTCAATCTTACATAAACTGGAATATTAAATTTTTATTTTTGATGCTGTGAAGGGTCTACTTAATCCCAGCTTGGCTTGTTTACAGCTCTGTGGGTAAAGGAGGGATTTCCAAATTGAGAATGCTCTGGGATTAGTGGTCATCTGGTAGCTTTCTGCTTCACCAGGGAAGTGATCCGACAGTCTCAGATTTAAAGAAAAAAATGTTATGTAAGCATTTTAAATATTTTCTAAGTACAGAATTCAAGTGCACCAGATTTCAATAACGATCTACGAGAACGGTTCGCTGAAGGATTGCATGGGTATCAGAGTGAATTCTGGCAACCAGAGGGACAGAATTCAGAGATTCACATGAACTCCACAGAACCGAGGGCAGCTGTCAATAGACGAGGGGGGGATAGAAAGACTGTCATGCGAAGCTCATAGCTGGCTGCACATTCACAGGACTTATTTCAGTCACCCAACTTCAAGCCAACACACAAAAAAATCACTTCTCATGAATAATGAATGTCGTAATGCTTTAAAAACAGATACTTCCAAAATCAAAGGAGAGAAGATCTGTAGCTGTGTGAGCTATCACTGGTCAGGACAGCTTACCAAATCCAAATGCACTGGAGCCGCTGATGCTCTGCGAACCCTGAATGCTGGTAGAGGTGTACAGTCCTGTCACCAACAACCCATCGAAGAAGGTGCTTGTTGAAATTGTCACTGAAATACAGCAAAGAGGAAAAAAGAAGCCTCCATTAGCAGTCAGAATAATGAGATAGATTTCTGAAGTATTACTGTCAAAACAGTCTCTGCTCGTTACTAACAGATTATTGTTGTACTCTCCCCAGGTTATATAGAGACAACTTTCAAGGAGCAAAAAGAATCTCAGAACTTCAGTGTCTATAATTGCGGGTTGTAAATTCAGTACCTTGCTTCTATCTTTTTGCATTCTTCTACATATTTTGTGACTATGTAAAAAAAAAATCTGAAAATAATGCAATATTGAATAGATGGCTTCCACAGCTCCGCTACCACCCCAAAGGTGGTCCAAGACCTTGCTGGAGTTTTGGCATTCTAATGGAACACTTAAAAAAAATTCCACACTGTGGAAATAATCCTACATAGGCTGCAAGAACAGTGAGACGTGCTGCATTTCTTATTGTGAATCTACATTTCATAGATGAGTTCCCTGAAGTTTTCCAACAAAAGCTAACTAATTTGCATGAAGACAGTCGGCCCTCTCCTCTCAAGAAGAAGAAAGGAAGACCACTGCATGCTTTGCATTTTAGAACAAAGTCTACAAGAGGGGTCCAAATGGTTCCATAACCGACAAATCGGGATGTTCCCTGGAAAAAAAGGGCCGAATTAAGTGTTTGCTGCTCGCATCTGGCTTCTGGAAATCTCGTCTTGCTCACTGTCCTAAAGAAGACAGTAATTTCCTGCTTGACATGATAACATTTTCTCCTGCACCAGTTTGTCTGAGATCAAGATGATGCCACTTATAGGAAGCAGTGGAGGAAGGTAATGACATTACTTTGGTAGTTCACAGAACAGGCTGTCATCACACTTGGTGGCAGTAAGGAGAATGGGCAGTGTCACATAACTTTGATGAGAATGTTTTAACTGCAGTTCACCCAGTGTGTAGAGCGGACATAACAAATAAAACAAGACATGGATACCAACAGCGTAGCCAGACACCCGGCTACCCTTAAACGGCACTGATTTGGAATACATCACCCTCCCACCTTCTAGTGAGAAATAATAGCAGATATTTTTTGAGAACTACCTTGGAGAGCACACGGAAACCACTCGGCTGGGCTGTGGACTAAGTAGTTTTCATGTATTATCTCATTTAGGTCTCAAAGCCTATCTATAAAGGAAGCACAGATGAAAATTTCCTGGCAGAGAACAATTAAAAATCTTGTCCAGAAAATTCTGATACTATGGAAACCTTTAATGAGGTTTACTTGAGCGACCACATTTTTTTCTTTTTTCCTGTGCTTTCCTCAAAACAAAAACCTTGAGTTATCTCATTTTATTTTTCTTTTTTTCCATGGCAAAGTGGCCATGGCCCAAACCTTGTTTCAAAGCTCTGCTCCTGGCTTGTTCATGCACCTGGAGAACAGTATTTAAAGAAAAGGACAGTGAAAGCCTTGGGAGTGGACACCACTGTTCTTAGAGGGAAAGTGAGGCACAGGCTGCTGGGAGATGATCCCTGAGCGTGGCAGAGAAAACCGCAGGGCAGGCATGAAGGGCGGCAGGGGCTGGGCCCTCATCTGCTGCCCGACCGCTGGGTGTCCCCGGACACTCAGTCCATCCATCTCAATATCCCACCTGCACATCAGCAGCCTCTCACTGCTCCCTCTGCCCCGCTTACACCAGGTTCCCACCATGGGCTCTACCGATGCTTCCCTCCTTTGAGTCACTGAGTGAATGCTAACCAAGATTAGAAAGGGCTCCAGTGGGTTCTAGTGGGGCTCAGAATTGCATTGCTCCCCCGTAGGGAGACAGTGCTGACCATGACACTCTAACACTGTGTCCCCGCAAATCTCACAACCAGCTGTCTCCGTGGACTCGTGGTGCCCTGATTTTACCACTCCCTCCCTACATGCCGCTCTGGCCCAGTTAAGGGCCACGCTGCACCACCACACAAGCACGGATCCCTGTGGATGGACTTCCTCTCCTCCACGAGGCTTCTGCTCTAGTTTCTCAGCCAATCCAAACAGCGTCAGGGCTTTACAGGATGAGAACGCAGTAGACCTGAATTGGGGTCTCCTCTATCACTGCCTCTGATGAGTACATTGACTAAACTCTTAGACTCCTTGCTCATAAAGGCAATGGTCATGCTGTCAAGTTTACAGCAGGAATTCCAAGCCAATAGATTTATTATGTGCCTATCAAGATATCTATCTGCTGGATACTCTATCAACTGTGCAGTCATCATCAACAAAAGTGAGTTCCCTCTCCTTGTCCTCTCTTAGACCCCAAAGCCCTACATCACTTTTCCATTCCTGAGAACAGGAATCTGGTACAGAACTCCTGAAATCTACCTGGCCAGAGACGGGGCATCTCTCATTGCTGGCCGTCTGAGTCCCCTGCTATCTTCTAAGGTTCCACTGACCTCCCTGTCCCCCAGTAGCCCATCTCTGACCACGACCACACCCAAGTTGAGTTGTGATCTCAGTGGGTCCAGGCCAAAGGAGCATCCACTGCTGTGAGTAATTTCCCCTCTCTTCCCAAATGTATTCCTTATGTATTTGCTCAGAGTTTATTTAAACAGAAGCTAAATGCTCTCAAAGAAAGGCTGAGGATGAGAAGAATCGTGGGTGGTACACTTACTCTATTGCCCTTAAAAACTCAGCTCTGGTCCCAAGAGGACACGCTTGCTCACCAAAACAAAACCCCTGCCATGTCCACCATGGCAGCTGATAAACTCAGCATGCTCAGAGCTGGTCTCGCCTAGTGATGTATCCCTCTGGAAAGTGCATTTAGGAAGCCACTGGACAGCCTGTACTCTTGAGTCCTGAGTGGCAGGGTCTCCCGCAATCCTGATCCTGAGACACCCATGCAGGCTGTCCCTGTCGCCTGCCATCCCCACTGCCTCACCTGCCCCAGACAACACACGAGTCCTGATGTTCCTCCTCCACATGCCATGATGTCCCTATCAGGTCATTCTCTTCTTTACACAGATTTGTGGGGGATAAAGCAGTAAGATGTAATAAAGACAGCCAGGAAGTAAAAGGACTGACTTTCCTCTCAGTAAGAGTATTAATTTGCTGTGTCAAACTGGACCAGTTTTTCCCTTTGGTTGGTTCTGCTCCCAGCAGGGATGTGAATGCCTACTACTTAGTTTGCTAAGTATGTTTGAGTATTTGAGAAATCATTTCTATCATGGAGTGCCCCTAAGTAAAAGCAGGATTACTAAGAAAACACTGATGACTTTGAGCATTTCTTAGCTTCAAACGTCACCCATCCGCTAATTACTCCCGAAGTCCTACCCCCAGCCCAGACTCATCCCCTACCCCAGAACACACAGCGTTCTCTCGGCTGTCCAAGAGCCGTCTCAGCCTCCACATGAGCCACACCGAGGCCTGTCTCCCCGAAGCCCGCTTCCCCTGCAGCTCTCCCCAGCCCTGCGAAGGACCCCAACTTTCCCAATCTTTGGGCCAAACCTCTCTGGAATTGCCTTCCTCGAACTCACTGCATCTAACCCACCAGTTGATCCTGTTGGCTCCGCCTTTCGATGGTATCCAGAATCTGGCACTCGTCACCACCCACTTTATTTCATTAGACACCAAGCTGGTCTTCCTGGCTCTAGCCCTGCTCCCTCCGGCCTGTTTTCAGTGTGATCAGAGGGGTTCGCTTAAGACATGCATCTGATTGGTCCTGCCACTGCTCTCCTTCCAGCTCCCCAAGGGCTCCTTACTGTGGTAAAAGGCAACATCCGACGGTGGCCTACACACAGCACGTGATCTACCTCTGTTCCCTCTCTGTCCCCTCATCTGTCCTTGCGTCTTGCTCCACTATGCACACACCAGCTCCCTCACTCAGACGTGCCAGGCCTCTCCTCTAACTAGTTCCCTTCTCAGGGGCTCAGTTCCCTCACCGCCAGCCCTCAGCTTAAATGTCACCCTCTCCATTCGGGCTCTCTTGACAGCATTACTTAAACATGCAGGCTGCTACCTCGCTCTGTGCCCCCCATCCTCAGTCACCTCCACATGACTTCTGTACATCTCCTCTTTTGCTCTGTAAGTAATCAACACTACCTAACACACTGTCTATCTAAAATATTTTCATTTACACATTTATTTTCAGTCCCATTCTATAAAATGTAATCTCCACCAAGTGACATGCTTTGTTCAGTGATGTATTTCAGGTGTTGAGAACAATTCATGACACTTGTAACTGCCCAATAGATATTTAGTAAATTATTAATGAAGTTATTCATTTGATGTGAAGTTATTCACATAAAAGCAGCCTTAGGTTGTCTTATCCTCTAACTTGGTCCCAGAAGAGAAGTGTGGTGCAAATCCCAGACTTTACATGGCAGAGGAATCCCACTTGGAAAAGCCACATGGAAAAAATGGAGATCAAAAAAGTTGGCTATTCAAACATGCAAAATGTTTTCCACAGTGAAGACATCCCAGTGTGGAGAGAGGCTGCGTGGAGCCCAGCTGAAGACCCCGCACCACAGGCCGCCTGGAAAGCACAGCGTAAGTAATCCCTCCGCTGCTGGTTACAGAAGCCATCTAAAGGAGACATCTCCTTTCTGTCTGAAACCAGTGGGTCATAATGTATTTCTGCTTGCCAGAGTTGCAAATATATTTTTCAGAGGAAAATAAATACATATATTTGCCTTTGGAAAATGCTACACTGTTGACCGCAGAACCAAGCTATTCCTTTGTTACCATCAGCAGACCTAACGCATAATCCCTACTTGAACTTGATCCATTTTTGAAGAAAGAGAAAATGTTGCCCTGACTTAAGGGATTTAAGACATAGCTCACTAAGCTGCTTTTACTCCAGAAAATACTGGTCTGATTTCGAAATTTAAAATACATTGAGCCACGGTGAATTCCCTGCTGACACGTAGGAAACTTCGAGATGTCTGCAGCTCGTGTGTCACTGCCCCGAGCATACACTGGCGGGCACATGGGGAACCACACCAAGGACCCCACCCTGGGTGGGGTGTAGAGAGCCCTTTCTTTCCCTTTCAAATG